TTTTTTTTATCAAAATGTCCTTCTAGGTCAGATCCCGACATCTGTTGCATGCAAGGGTAATTCAAAACTTGGTTGGAGACCTAACGCAGTCTTCACTCGAGCCATGAGAAGCACCTCCACGGAGAGACCTGGCCGATGTCTCAAGAGATGGACTCCAGCAGAAGCTCGTCAGGCGGCATGGGGGGGATCTCCATGCTGTTTATTCGGCCAAAGAACTTAGAAAGGGACCAAATCTTAAAGCGTGGAAGATTTCTCCTCTTCATACGAATGTCGTTGCTGGTTTCGGTGACAGAGAGGCTGCTCCCGCGGCGCAGGAACCGAGCCCGCAGGGCAGCACAGCTGTGGTGCAGCAGCTGGTCCTGGAACTCAGAGGTCATGAAGTAGTAGAGGACGGGATCCAGGCAGCAGTTGAGGCTCGCCAGGCAGAGGGAGATGGGGTGGAAGCGGAGCATGATCCTGTGAACGGCGCAGTCCTGGATGATGTTCTCTATCACCATCATGAAGAAAGGGAAGCTGATGTGGTAGGGGGTGAAGCAGATGAAGAAGACGGCCGCGCACATCAAGACCATGCGCAGAGCCTTCTGCTTCTCGCTGGTGTTCTGCAGCTGCGTCGGGCACTCCCGCAGGGACTGCCACATCTTCCAAGTGCAGCAGGCAATGATGCCGAGGGGGATGACGAACCCAAACAGCTCCGCCACCGTCACCAGCGCGATGGAGGCCCCAGGGCTCAGCTGCTTCACCCCCAGGTCTGAGAAGCACGTGTTTGTGCTGTTGGACAAGGCTGGGCTCCTCACTACGAGCAGGGGTAAGCACGCTGCCCCGACGACGAGCCACACCGCAGCACTGATGGCTGCGTCGTACCGCCGCTTCCAGTCCTTGGCTTTGAAGGGATGGAGGAGGAAGAGGTACCGCTGGACGCTGATGCAGCTGAGGAAGCAGATGCTGGCGTACATGTTGAGGTACTTCAGGTAGAAGCACAGCTGGCAAAGAAAACTTCCAAAGGGCCAGGTGTGGTTTATGTAGTAATACATCCGCAAGGGCAGCGAGAGGACGTGAGCCAGGTCGGCCACGGCCAGGTTGATCATGAAGATGACGGCTTTGCTCTTCTTGCTGATGTAGCGGCACAAGACCCACAGGGCAGCACTGTTGGCCAGGAGGCCGGGGATGAATATGATGGTGTAAGTGGTTGCGTACAGGGTAGACTGGAAGGACATCTGGGGAACGGTGCAGTTCCCGGAGGACACGTTGCTCTCCATCTCGGCTGAGGCTCTTGGCTCATGGGGCGGTTAAGGTGGGTGGAGGGTTTCTGTAGGGAGTAAAAACAGATGCTGTAAAGCCAAAAACTTCCCGCTATTTCCCTGGGTGCAGTAAATAGGCTTTGGTACCGAGGAATAAGTCAAACGGGGGTGTGTGTGTGTGTGCAAGATGTCGTGTGTGTGCATTGGGAAGGGTGAGGAGCCAGACCCCGCTTACAGGCGGCGATCCCGGGCATCTTCCACACAGCTCCTTCCCAATGTGCTCCGCAGGATTTCATCCCCGCCACCCCCTCAGGCGATGTCACGGCTACCGTGACATTGTGATTGAGCTCCATAGCATTGACCTCTCCATTGCTAATGCCAGAGAGCTCCTTCACCTCCCCGGGGTTTTTCAAGACCACTTCTATTGCATTGGGTTTTCTGTCAAGCTCCCATCAAATTGGTGCTCTCTGCTATGTCCACAAGCAGTTTTGGTGGGACTGTAAATAAATGGGGATTTTAAATTGATCTAGGCACTGTCTTTTTGGAGTGGTCTGGTGTGAATCAGCAGTGAGGGCACTAATTAACCTCAGCAAACGATGGTGCTGGCAGGCAGCCGACGGGAGCAGGGGCCGGTGGGAGAGGTGCGGACAGATCTATCAGAGCTCTGGCTCCAGATTTAAGGCTGGATTTCGAAGCTAATAGCTGGCCAGACACATGCCAGTTGCTCTGCTGGCCCTGCTAACTCAATTCCAGCACTCACGGCACATTGTGCAGGCATCGTGTTGTAGCAACAGAAATTATCCTCCAGCAACGGTTGAGGACATGAGGGAAGATAAATATTTCTGTCTTTTAGTTAGAGCAGG